ATTTATTTTTATTTTATGGTATTTCTTGCAGCATTCATGCTAAATATAAGCCATATAACACTTTTCCAGCATAGTTTAGTTTCAGTTTTATAGCTTGTATTGTAATGCCTTAAGAAAATCTACATTTTTTTCTTCCCATCAAATAACTTGAGTGTGTGTTATTTGCTGCTAGGATTTAATTGTTCATGTGAGAGACGTTAGCCATCCAGAAACCAGCCTCCAGAAGAAAACTGTATTATCAGTTCTCAAGAATCTTAATATTCCCAATCATCTACTTGAATCCATTATTGAAGTACACAATAAAGTGGATTTAGTAGATAGGTAAGAGAAACCCTAACTTTCAAAATGCTACTGTAGTTTATGTTTTGACTAAGAAACAGAACATTTTGTATCCCAGAATTATTTTCATTATAATGAGCAGCAGAAATTTAATTAATCGGATCAATGATTCATTTATAACAGGACAAAATTAGTTTCTGAAGGATACATTTTTTTAGCCTAAAGATGCTTCTAGAATTGACATAGTTTGTGGAAGCATAAGTGATGCTGATAGCTAAGTGTGCTATTTTATTATTTATTTACTTATTAAATTTATGTTAGCTGCATTCTTCTACAGGGAAAAAGGATCAGTTTACATGGTATGTTTAAGACTTATTTAAAATAAATAAAATACTAGGATTCTACCCAAAGAACAGACAATAATAACAATCTGGAGTGGATCTGGGGTAGAAGAAACCCTTCTAATTCTCTCTGATACTTCTAAATTATCTTCCAAACAAAATTGTCTTAGTATGGAAAACTAATACACAGTTAGTATGTAACGTAGGTTGTTTTCCTACTATATGATATTAATATGATAAATACCCATCAGAAAATAAATGTTTCTTACTTATTTACAACAAACTAAAATATGAAATCTATAGTCCTATAATATAAACAAGCTAAATTTCTATAGTTTTTTCACAATTGTCTTCTGTGCCAAGGTCTATTTTTTTGATGTCTGTTTGCTGCTAGGTATCAACCTAAAGAACAAAATGCTATAGTCACTTCAGCTCTCCTTGGACATGGTTTAAACGAGCTGAAAGAAGAAATCGAGGCAAGAGTTTTGAAAGGAACTGGGAAAAAAATTATGACAATTAAAATCAATTTATCTGGACCTCAGCTCAGGTCAGTGACAACTACACACCAGTTGTGGCTGGAAAATCATGTCAATTAGTATCAAAATTCTACTTTTTAGAAACAGTTTGCTTTTGGTTCTTTTTGCTGTACTGACTCTTTAGACAAGTTGGATACTATTTGCTCACCCCTTTTTTTGTTTGCTAAGCCCATTTAATATCTAAAAACATTTTTCTGTTAATTTATTGGCTGTGCATTTACACAAATGTTGCCTGCCAGCAGCAAAAAAACAAGCTATAGATATGATAGTAAGCTACAGAACTGTGGTCATGCGTTGTTAAGCAAACCCACTGTTCACTGTGGTGCAGTTTTATTAAAAATTGGAAGTGCCAGATGCTTATTTTCTGCAAAACTGTCTTAAAACATGGTCACAGGACTGCAGGATGCTGCAAATGGCCATAAATGCCATCATGTTCCAGAGCATGCAAAGAGCAATCACATAACTTCAGGGAGGGCAACTATTGGAACTTCAGATCTGGGTTGTAAGTCCCCTTTTTGAGGTAGGTGATAACTTCAAACAGTTGCTAAGTGAAACCTCAGGAAACCCATTTCAAAAAGTCTTCCAAACTATCCTTTCAGGTTAAAATTATCAAATTTTACAAAAAGTAAGAGAAAACATGCAAGCTTGGAATATATTTCTCATCCTCAAAACCATGGGATTTGTGATAATCTGATTAATAATGTTATTTCTCTAGTAATAAAACAACAGTTGTATTATATCATTGCAGTTGGCTGTACAAAGAAGCAGTAGTACAAGAAGTTGATGTTGCTCCTGAAGATAATACAGCTAAAGTAAAGGTCATCATAAGCGACTCTGCCCTGTGGAAATGCAAACGACTGTTTCCTCAGTCTAGTTATTTGTCTTGATAGCCACAACCTGCTTTGCTTCTGGGAGAAAGGTCTTCCAGCAAATTTTTAAGAGACAAGAGCAATCACAGTGATGAGACTGCATACACAACGTTGACTCCAGTGGACTTAAAAATTAATGTAAACATGGTTAATAAAAAAGGTTCTCCTGATATAAAGTGGTCAGCTTTTCAACACTGAGTTAGTGATGACAATGAGAAGAAAGCTGTTCCAGGACAATTTTAAATTTTTGTACAGGAAGTGGTTATCTATATGCAACAATTATATTGAGTAGAGGTTGAAGCGTTTCATTTATTTATTAAATTCATGTGCCACCCTTCTCATTGTCAGTCAATTCTGGGCAGCTTGCAACATCATAAAAACAGCAGTATAAAACATTAAAACACTGAACATTGACATAAAGCTGGGTAAACTAGGAACCTGAGGTGCAGATGAGATTGTCTACTTAGTCTACTATCTACAGCAGGGGAACCCACATCAGGGCCCCAAGCCAATTGGCAAAGCCAGGTTTCCAGCCCTTTACAAGGCCAAGAGAGTTATGGTTAGTATGCTTAATGCTGGAAAATATACACTCATAGGAGTATATGTGACTTGATTTTGTAGTACCCATTAGTTTAATTCTATTTTTGAGGTACAGAATTAGTTATTGTTACTCCTACTACAGGTATTGTGGAAGATTCTCAGAGCAAACATCTCAGCATACAGTTATTTGCAGTGGTTGATCAAGAAAATGGTTGGGAGGGTGCTATTCATAGTCCACTTCCCATTCCTAATCCATCGCCTGTGAAAGAAGATACTATACAACCTCATAAACCTCAGCCATCATGAAACATTTTCCTTTCTTCAGGAAAGTTAAGTCCTGTTTCTTTGTTCTTTCAAACAAAATTCCCAGGGCAGTCCTGAACTAGAGAGAACAAGGCTATTACCTCAGCCATGGAAATTTTATTGACTTTGATCCAGTTAAACATTCTTGGTCTGATTAGTCTCACCATATTGTGGGATAAAATATGGATATAAACTGATGGGTAATCCCATGTAAACTATCTTCTGCTGGAGAAAGAAAGGGCCATAAACCTAACTATCAATAATAATCTACTACTTACATCACAACCATATCAACTTTGGGTATATTAAGTTGTGATGACTACTGTTTTCTGTCTGTCAACATAAAATTTATATAAATTGTCAACCTAAATATGAAAATAGAATATAATTTAACAAGCCACATTGCACCTGTCTGCTAGATTAAGTTCTTAACTCTGAATCAGTGGTGGGATTCAAAAAAATTTACTACCGGTTCTGTGGGCATGGTGTGGCTTGATGGGCTAGCTTGGTAGGCGTGGCAGAGGAAGAATACTGCAAAATCTTCATTCCCACTTCAAGGGAAGGATACTGCAAAATCCCATTCCTTCCCCACCCCACTAACCTGCTTTTCTCCTCCGTTCTCCTGTGCAGGGCAACAAAAGAAGACCCAGCCAATCAGCTGGGACTCGGGAGGCAGAGAATAGATGGGGGCGGGACCAGTCAGAGGTGGTATTTGCCGGTTCTCTGAACTACTCAAAATTTCCGCTACCGGTTCTCCAGAACTGGTCAGAACCTGCTGAATACCACCTCTGCTCTGAACCACTTTGAGCAGACCTTCCCTCTATGAAAGTTAATTGTAGAAATATTGTGTATTTTATTGAAGCTTTATTCTACCTTGGCTTTGAGAACTTCTTGTGTAGCTTACTGACCAAACCAGAATTTGTCCTAGACCTAGGCCTTCATCCATCATTGCTGCTTCTCTTATTTGGGCTAATTTCTTGAATGTTTTTGTAGCCTGCCCCCCCCCCTTCACTCCCTGAAAATTTAAACCACTGAAATCCATCTGCAATTACAGAATACAACATAGGGACATGACGGGACATGAGTTCCATATGCAGCTTTGGCATTCCTCCAGAAATCACTACTGAATTGCATGTTTCACTGCTACACAAAAGGAAAATGATTACATGTAATAATATTAACTTTAATAATATTAACTTTAGCTAATATAATATTAATACAAATTAATTGGTTTTAAATATGGCTTTTATCTTGGTACCAACTCTTTGGGGAGTGTTCTCCACAGTATATCACTCATAAACCAAGTGTGACCTTGAACTGAAAAGTCCTGGCCAAAGAAATGCTTAATATTTAGAGCTGGTTGCCCCAGATATTTTTCTTTCTCATTTTATACCTGCATTTATGGAAAGTTGAATACAATTTTCCATTTTACAGCTGCCAATACAGCAACAAATACCCTTCCTACCTTTTTATACTTGAAAAAGTCAGCCAAACCTGAGAGAGATTTTAAAAAATAGAATTAAAAAACAGTGCTTTTTGCATACTGCTAAGCCTCTGGCCTCCTTAAACACTTACGGTTTTATAGTATACAGTTAATGTCACTAAAGATGTCATTATATTTACATTCAAATCATTTGGCTAGATTTTCAACTCTGCCTACCTTCAGGAAGGAGGATATGAAAGACCCAGCCCTCACTGTTTGGCTGGTCCATCAGAAAGTCTTTAATCTAGAAATTCAAGTCAGTCAACTTTTCAATGAGGATGCTCGGCAGAACGGTGTTAAAGGCCAAGCTGTAGTTTATGAAAAGCATTCTGACATGGTTTCCGGGTTTCTCTAGATGACTCACTACAAAATGTAAATCAGTAGCTATGGTGTCATCTGTCGACCTACTCTCCAGTGGTGGGATTCAAAATTTTACTACCAATTCTGTGGGTGTGGCTTGGTGGGCGTGGCAGGGGAAGGTTACTGCAAAATCCACATTCCCTTCCCACCCCACTAACCTGCTTTCCAGTTCTGTTCTCCTGTGCAGGGCAACCAAAGAAGACCCAGCCGATCAGCTGGGACTCGGGAGGCAGAGAATAGATGGAGGCGGGGCCAGTCAGAGGTGGTATTTGCCGGTTCTCCGAACTACTCAAAATTTCCACTACCGGTTCTCCAGAACTGGTCAGAACCTGCTGAATACTACCTCTGCTATTCTCCTTGTAAGCAAACTGGTATTGGTCAAAATTTGGTGGGAGGCATGAACTGAGGTGTTGAAGAAACAATTTCTCGAAGCACTTCATCACTACAGATGTTTATGCAATAGGTCTGTAAGTCATTCAGGCAGTTTTTTTCTTCGGGACTGGGATGACTGGCTGGCTTTGGACTGATACCATGCCTTGACTTTGGATCATGCCTTGTGAACTCTGGATTCTTCTTGCCTTTGTGCTGTGGATTTAATTTTACCTGGTGGATTTGTCTTGCCTGAAAACCTTACAAGTACTTTATCGACTCATTGGCCACTGCTGTGTGGATTAACATAGGTCTGCTTTTGGCTGGACGTAATTGGGACAGTTCTGAGGTTTTGGTGTAGGGAATTGCCATGGAACAATAATAAATCTACTAAAGCACTGTTACATGTGTGTGCAAGTGAGCGGGACAGCACAGAGATACTCAAACATACTACCTCTACAGTAATATTTCAGTACTAACTAGTTGATCAAAGTTCTCCATGTTTCAAAATTTTGTAGATGCTGCACATTTTGCAGGAAAACCATTTTTTCCATGAAGTTTTTTTTAAAAAAAAACATGACATTTTCTACCGCGATATTTAAATACAGTTTTTAAATAAATACTTAACTGCAAGTTAAAATATGAGTAAGGGAATTATTTACTATATTATATCTTACTTTATCCTTGCAGTTAGTCCCATAATCTCCTTTCAAAACAATCATCTCCCATCATCTCCTTTCAAAACGATCAAAATAGAGTTATTGTAAAATCAGTTTGCTATTAAGGTTTATCACATTCTCTACAAAATTATTTTTTTCTATGAAGTCTCCAGCAATGATGTTAATGCAATCCTTTTTTGATCCAGGATGTTGTTTCTTTACCCACAAATTTAGGAATGGAAGAGCCTTCAGAGCCATTTTTTTAACAGAGCTGTTTATATTTGTCAAAATATATCCTAAATCTGCAGTAAGATTTATTCCTGCGACAAATAATCCATCTGAAAGGCAGAAAAAAAAAACAGGAATAAGAATTGCCATTTGTTTCTTGTAACAATTACCAACAATTCTCCAAAGAAGGGAATGTCTCATCCATTTATTTTAGTAGGATATGGTAACTCGCTTTATTTGCAAACCATATGCATTATGAGCATCCCTCAGGTTACTGGCAACTAAGGAGCAGAAAGAATATACCTTTCTTACATCTTATTTTGGATGAATCCCAAATTCACTTTAGAAATGTCTGCCTGAGTATCCCCAAATCGACCCAAATTAAAACAGGTGTTTTCAACATCCTTGTTATTCAGTATATCAAATGTTGCTCTGCTCATATTAAAGCTTTTTTTAATATGAAAATTATTTGTACATATATCCATCTGACTGCAAAGATGGGAACACATTTTTGAATAATGTGAAAATTTTGGAATCTTGTTTCCAGCCAAAAAAAAATGGGCTGCAGGAAATCTCATCAAATTGGAGTAATATCATTAGGGATAGAGGAACATCAGTGACTTCCTCTTGATTTGATCACTAGACCTAAAGCAAATCCTCATAAACTGAAGATTGCTTGGCTTTTTCTTTTTTTTGTGGTTTTTGTTCCATCATCACAAAAGCTGGTTGCTGAGTCTTGGTGGATATATGTGGGAATGCTCATGGATGGGAGCTCAGGGGCTGATTCAGGATATCCACCATGTATGCACAAGGACAAATACCTGGGCGACCACTTTGCTTCCTTTTTTCCAAAAACTCAATAAGCTTTCGTGCTGTATCCTTATTTCCCCACCAGTATGGAATTTCAGGCCACAATTCACTATGTTGTACCACCTGCATTATGTCGTCATAAGATACAATAACTTGGTATCCATTTGACCACATATTGTGCAGGGTTGGGATAATCTGAAAGGAAGAATAAGATAACATTTTGTATTTCAATTATTTATATCCCACCTTTATTATTTTTACAAATAATTCAAGACAGTAAACATATGCAACATACCTTCCTTCTCCTATTTTCTCCACAATAGCAACCTTGTGAGCTGAGTTGGGCTAAGAGAAAGAATGACTAGTCCAAAGTACTCAACTGGCTTTCATAGCTAAAGTGGAATTAGAACTCACGGGCTCCCACTTTCTAGCCTGATCCCTTAACTCTCTATTATTCATATCAAAGAGACTTGGGATACAGCTGTGATGAATTCTATTGGAAAAGTTCTGCAGGGGTCATTTTATTTATTTATTTATTTACTTTATTTTATTTATATCACTGCCTATTCGCCCATGGCGACTCGAGGCAGCTTACACAATGTAAAACTATATTTAAAACAAAAAAATAAAAATAAAAAAAACAATAAAAACTAACAAAAAAGAATCAAATAAATTAGTAAAGTACAATAGAACAAAATTTGGGAAAACAAAAACAACAAAAACAAACAAACAAACAAAAATGTTACTATTTACTATTACCCAGAATTGTTCAAATTTTGCCAAGTATTACAGTATCACTCAGAGTTGTATATGATCGCTCCATATTCCCACAATACAATATCTGACCAAAGTGAATTAGGAATCTCACAGTCTCAAAATATTAAAACTACGTTTTCTAAGCAACTCACATTTCTAGGACACAATCTGTAACCGAAGATCTTCTGTATACAGGAGACCAAATGTTTGTGATGATTCTCATCCAAGCCATCAAAATTTCTGAAAGCTAGAACAACAACCTCCCAAGGATGATTTTTCAACCATCGTAAAATATCCCACAGAACAACCTATAAAAATCAATGTAAGATTGATAATATACAGTGTGAGACATGGATTTGTGACAGAAGGAAAATAAATCAATTATAATTGGCAAATTTCTCAATGCTATTGTATCATACTATCAGACCAGGAGATGTTCATTGTATAGGATATTCCATGTGAACTGGAAACTTGCTATTTGCATATTCTTTTCTGTTTGATGTACATAAACTTATAATCTAGCAAACCATACAAAATCCAACTAAATGTTACCATAACTATGAAATATTATCTACATTGTGATTTCTAGAAAGCTTAGCTTCAATTGTCATGTTTTATAAAGTATTTGTAATCCAACAAACTGAAAATTACTAGTATGTTAAAAAAGATTATCCTTCTTAAAAAGAACATTATCCAAAGAGACAGGAACAACACTATTCTTTTTCTCCAGAATTGTTACTATGCTCTTTAATTGCAGCCCTGATCCTAAACAGATGGTTGAAATTCTGCAGAATATTCCTGTACAAATGCTCCTTGGCCAATAATTTGGGAGTCGCTTTCTTGACTTGATCCTAAAAAATCAGTTGTCAAATGTGCTGCAAAATGATAAGGGAGAGAGGGAGGGAGGGGACAGAGAGAGGGAGGGAGGGAGGGAGGGAGGGAGGGAGGGAGAGAGAGAGAGAGAGAGAGAGAGAGAATATTCTAGCCTAACAATGCTGACATCTGTTAAAAAAAATTGAAGACATTGTTCAAAATTGTTTGCACCTAGAAGATACATAAAAGCATGACCAAATGAATTTTGCTAAAGATAGTCCTGTTATTCAGAAGAGTTGAGTTTTTTTTTTAACTAAGTAGGAATTTATGCTATAATTATTGTTCAGAGCACTGTGGAATCTTAATAATTTTTACAACAGAGCAAAATATGTAACTGGATGTGACATGGAGCTGCTGTGGCATAAATGCCTGAGTCAATATGATCATTTCTGAATCTTTACTAAGCACAAGTTTTGGAGTTAATTCAAGCAGTGATTATTAGGAAATTCATATCTTGAAAGCTGGCCACTTCCTGACTTAATGCATTGGGTTTTATCCAAACCAACTTCATTTAATGTGCATCCTGTTGAAATCAATGGGGCAAATTAGTTCTGGGTTGATTTAAATTCATTTTAATGGAAGCTACAGTAAATGAAGTATTGATCCTATATAATACTAGTGTTATAGAAATATTATTATATATATTATAAACTTATGGATCTTGGGCTTCCTTATTCAATCTGCCTTTGGATTAGGGAATTCCTGTATGGCTGTTCTCAGAGGGTCAGATTAGGTAATCATACATCTTCAGCCCTTATTCTTAACACTGGTACACCACAGAGTTGCGTGTTGATTCCCTTACTCTATACTCTTTATGTTCATGACTGCATTCCCACTCATACCAGTAATACTATTATTAAATTTGCAGATGATACAACAGTGGTGGGCAAAATGAGTCTGCCCATCGAGATGAGATGGACTGGTTGCTTCATGGTGTGGAGACAATAATATGGTCCTTAACACCAATAAGACCAGGGAGCTTATAGTGGACTATGGAAGGAATAGATCAAACATCCAGCCCTTGGCTATCAATGGAGAACAAGTGGAGAATGTGGCTAGTTTTAAATTTCTGGGTGTTATCATAAAAGAGGACCTGACCTGTGATGCTCACATTGCAACACTGGTTAAAAGAGCCCAGCAGAGATTATACTACCTGAAACTTCTCAGAAAACAACAACTGAATGAAAAACTGCTGGTGACCTTCTACCGCTGCACCATAGAGAGTATCTTAACTTACTGCACCTTTGTATGGTTTGCCAATTGCACAGTGACAGATAGGAAAGCACTCCAGAGTGTTAACATCATTGCCCAGAGGATCATTGGTTGCCCTCTCCCCTCTTTGAAAGAGCTCTATAGAGCTCCCACTGCCTTAAGAAAGTTAAAAACATTGTTAAAGATCCATCTCATCTTGGGCACCTTTTTTTTTTTTTTTTTTAACAATTACCATCTGGCAAATGGTACAGGATAATAAAAACAAGGACATATAGGCTGAAAAATAGCTTCTATCCCAGAGCAGTAACTATATTGAATTCTACTGTATAGTGCAATATTAATGTAATATCAGGGGTTTCCAATTCAATTGTGTAGAATGTGAAGAATGTGGGTTTGTGTTTTATTTTCATAATTATACTGTACACTGAAGATGGCATTTAATTTTGTTGTATGAGGTGCAAAGACAATAAACTAAACTAAAAACTAAACTATAGTATTTCTATAATACTAGAAATTTCTAAACCTTATCACTGAAAACCATGTCAAATTCAACTGTATCTTCAAAATTGCTATATCTAAGCATTAGATTATACTGTAAACACAAAGGTTGTGGTTCATAAGTAACATGCATTTAAGTTTCATATGGAAATCATCACCAATTTTAACAGAAATAATTATAGCTAACATTTCTGGTCTCAACTATTCCTGACTCTTTCCAACCTCACTATCAGAGGCCATCATTGTTTTGTTGTAAGGTCCCATTAACTTCAATTTCATCAATGTTATATATTTTATCGTTATTCTTAGTCATTTAGTGGCTTGGTACTACCTTAAGCCTTCAGAAGGTATCATGAGTTGAATAATACAGGTAACCCAATGTACTTATTTTGAAGCAAATAAACAAGCAAGACAACCTCACTTTGGAACCAGTGAGAAACTGTTACTACTTAACATACATAGCAGAACAGTGTTTGCAGTATCTATCAAATCTGACATGCATTTACGTTAGCAAGTTAATCTGGCATTTTCCTACTCAATTTATGATAATATTGTTACAAAATCTGCCATCCAATTTTCCAAAAGGTTTTTCTTTCTTCATAAGATGGTTCTATTTGTTTAACTCAGTCTTGGGATACTTCGATATTACTTTGGTGGAGAGTTTGAGCTTATTTTATTGCTGCAAAATGGCAACACATGGTCTGGACACAATCTATATGCTCTAAAAATCACTGACAGAATTCCTGCTTCCAACATTAGTTTCCCCATTGTGCTTTATGTTGGTTTACAAATTTAAAAAATATCTAAAAATATTTACAAATAAATCTAAAAATGCCTAACACAACAAAAATGGGATACAACATGGCAAATGTTTACATTTCTAGAATTCTTCAAAAGATATGATGGTGTTGGACAAGAAGTCAAAATGGAGATTCTGGACCAAATGCAATTGTTCATGGTAGGGAATATCTATATGAGAAATCAATATCTAGCTTTTAGGGACAAAGGAAATAGTTGTTTTCTAATTCTTATAACATAAATGAGTCTCCACTCTGCCAGAACAGGAAAAAAAAAAGCATATTACTACCAAAATGGTGCGTTTCCTCAGTTTTGTACAGAAGGGACACTTCACAACACATTTTTTAAATAGTATATTTCACTTAAAACAATTATTTCAATGGATTTGACTTAAGAAAATGTACCTCTACTTCCACCGTTGTATATAACATATGAACAAAGTATAATTTCATGGAAGGATCATCAGGTTTGTGAGCTATTCTAAAATCGAAATACCTAATTCCAGCATCCAATTGTTCCAACACAGTCAGATCCTGAAAAGTTAAAAAAAAAAATCCAAAGGTTTCCAAAATGCTTGCAAGAAAGATATATGTAATTATGTTTCAATGATATACATTTCATAAATTTTAAACAGTTTTAGGAAGACAATTTTGGATTGCAGTCTGCAATGGTAAAATCCATAATGTAACACAAAATAAATGGAACATAGACCACTTTCATCCAATAATTTTTCTCTTTCTTATGATACCTGCATTATTCTGTGTATTGCAGAAACAAACAAAAAATAAGCAAATTTAATATTGGAAAAACAGAGCTCAAAAAAGACAAAGTGGGAAGTCCAAAAATATTTACCTGTGTTATTGACCATCTCAAAATAATAGGGTGCACTATGCAATGCATATGTTTATCTAGTAACTGCAACAATTTGGATCCGTTCGCACTGACTTCTGACTTCTTATCCAGACAATATGTCATTGCATCATGACTACCTATATAGGATTAAAGATTAAGTCAACCTTATCCTAATCATGTCAGCCTTTTCAAATCTTACCGCTGCACCAGAGTTCACTCTAAAACTCTTCTTACTCTAATGTAAAACCAGAGTAAACTGACTGCAGAAACAGACCTAGTGGTCCATCAAGTCTGCCCTTTGGAGCTTTTTTTTATAATTCCCAGCAAACCATCAAAGATTATTATAAATAATAAATACAGGTAATAAATCTCACCTGAGAGCAAAAGCATTGAATGTGATCAGGTAATCATCAACAAAGGATGGCTTCTTTTGTAATGTTAAAATAAGGTAACACACTTCTCTTCATTAAAACAATCCTTCTTTAATATCTGTATCAAATATGATAAGTGCTACCTAAGAACCCCCTGGATCAGGGGTCTCCAACCTTAGCAACTTTAAGACTTGTGGACTTCAACTCCCAGAATTCCTCAGCCAGCTTTGCTGCCCTGGGTGGTTCATATGTGCTGTACTTCTGGCACCAGTCATCCTTTGGGAGATGTATGGTGCAGGGATTTGTTTCTTCCTGTGTTCTTCTTTATTTTTTGGAGCATCATCCCAATGGGGGTGATTTTCATCACACTTTCATCACATTTTAATTTAGAGATTGATAGGACTTGGTTTGGGTAACCATTAGAGCAGGGGTCCCAAAACTTGGTATTCTGTGAGTTGAAGTCCACAAGTCTTAAAGTTGCCAAGTTTGGAGGCCTCTGCATTTGAGCAACTTTTATTTCATAAGGTTCAATTAAAGCTATCCTGGGAAGCCTTATGCATTTCTTTAAATCATGGTTTAGGAAGGTTGGGAAATTCAAAAAAAAATGTTCTATCTGATTCTCAGATTCATGGAATAAAGGATATATCCCACCCATCCAACTGCATGGGTTGCCACTACAGACTGAACAAGGAAAATAAAAAAACATTGTGTGGCCTTGGTGATTTTTTCTTCTTCAAGGGGTGGTTTAAAGTTTGGATTTCACTAACATCTTTTTATTTTAGAAACATTTGACAAGATGCACAGAACACAATAGAATGTTCTAAAGCTCTAAAGTTCACCTAGATATATCTGTGGCACTGGGCAAATCCACCATTTATTTCTACACTTTTTGAAGAGATATGCAAAGTTATTAAGAAGTTGAAAAGGTAATGTTAAATATGTTTGTTATGATGTTATGTTATGTTGCGTTGTGTTGTGTTGTGATGTGTTGTTATGTTATGATGTGGTATGGTGTGTTTAAACAATTTTTTCCAATTATCCAATTTTGTTTCAAAATGCATTACTTACCTGGTAATGACAGATTAGAGAGGGGTACAGCCCAAAGACTTTCTGGTAAATCAGACATCCACTTATCAGTTTCACTGCTCAGATTAATGGATTTCTTTTTTGCCTCTTTCTTCCTTTTCCCCATTTTAAATAATGTCCTAGAAAAAGGTCTAAACAAAAAATAGGTTTTAACTCTCTTCTGCAAATGCAAATTTAATTCACCCAGTATCCTCACACACCTTCCATCCTGATGACATACTCAAAATCCTTTAAAACCTGGCTATTCTCCCAAGGTCTTGAAGTAGAATAGATGCAAGGTGTTGGGGTTTGTTTGTTTGTTTGTTTGCTATGTAGGGCTTTCTCTTCTGGATATACATAATCTGTTTTCCAGTTCGTTGTTTCTTGCTTTTCAAGTGCAAGCAAATCAAAATAGTGTGTGTGTGTGTGTGTGTGTGTGTGTGTGTACTAAAAAGATACTCCTTTGGTCCTTTTAGCTGCCAGAAAAAGGGAGTGGGGGAAAACAAGGCATTCTTGAAATGCCTAGATATCAACTCAGCAGCCCAAAGTTGTCCGAGTGTAAGAAGGTTATTGGAGAGCATGATGGATGACTCTTGGAGACTGATGTGTCCTATTGGAGAAGTCACATCCAGAGGGTGAGGAAAAGACCAGGGTCCAGGGGGAAATGTATGATGTGATTTAGTACTGGCTGCACCCAGCCACACACCTACATGGCAATTTCTAATAAACCAATTTACTTTTTCTGAGATGCGGCTAGAGACTTTTGCTTTGAATGAGGGGGATTTATTGGAGCCCTGACAGTGTGTGTGTGTGTGTAGAGGGAGGGAGGGACGGAGGGAGGGAGGAAGAGAGAGAGAGAGACTTACAACCTATTTTCCAAGTTATGACAATGCACATACACACCCTCAGTCATGTGATTGCATTTGGGGCGCTTGGCAATCAGCTCATCTTTTATGGCCATTTGCAGCACCCCAAGCTCATGTGACTTTAATATGTGACTTTTTTGCCTGTTTCAATGTTTATTCTGCTTTGGGCAAAGATCATTGGGGATATGAATTCACATTCATTCATAATTATCACCCCCAAAATGTTGAATAATCAGGTCCAGTCAAATAATACCTTGAGTTATAATCACAACCGTAATTCCAAATTACTGGACAATAATTGCTAACTTAAGTTAATTTGTATAAGTTCATTTATACAAGTCTCATTCTGGTGCCTTCCTCCCAGTTTTAGATATATAACCCATAGATTCCCCACTCTGCACACAATTCTGGCTCAGCATCAGTGATAGCCATGTTGTATGTGTGGAATGTGGGGAGGGTTGAAAATGGGTAAGGAAGCCTTATGATCCAAGCCCTTCCTATTTCATTGTGTGTGTAATACAGGTCCAAAAGGAGAAGATTGTGGATTGTGCTGCCACACTTACCATAATTTTGACACACACACACAGATGGTCATGGTTGCTGTTTCTCAGATTTTCTGACAGCTGTATCATAAAATGTAGAGAGGGTTGCCCTGTGGGCTGTAATAGAGGAAGTAATACAGTGGTACCTTGGTACTCATTAATTGGTTCTGGGAGGCATGATAAGTACCAAAACCAATCAGTACCAAACAATTTTTTCCCTAAGGAATAATGTAATGAGTCACAAGGCAGGTGACACTGACAATTTCCAGTTGGTGCATTGGGTACCAAACAAATGATGAGTGCCAGGACAAAATTTTCAAGTCAAAATGCATTGAGTACCAAATTCAATGAGTTTCAAAGCAATTGAGTACCAAGCAATAAGTAATATCATCATCCCAAGCCATCCCAATAATTTCATTGGCCCAACTCCTTTCTATAACTGATACATATGGGGATATAACCTTCAGTGACTATCCAATAGATCAAGATAAGATGAACCCACATAATCATGATCAACATTTGTATTGCTGGCTCCAAAGTCAATTCACATTAATAAGCTATCCAGTGAAAAGAGAGATATTTTTAACAAAAGATTCAGACAATTATTTTAAATTGGTTTTCCGAACCAATCAGGTTTATGTGAACTGATGGGTTTCTATGAAAAACTAAGGAACACCCCCCCCACCCAAAAAAAAATTGGCACAGCCAATTTTCTACCACTAGACTTGGTTTCTTAATCAAGGTACTAGGATATATATTTTTAACTAACTGGTTCCATGATTTCAACATACCATCCCCAAGGATTACAGAATAATCAAAATTAAATAGATGTTCATATCTATCACAACCTTCAGTAGAAATTCTGTTTCTACATATTGCAATTGTTAATTTCATATTGGCTTTGTAAATTTTTTATTGGGTATACACATTAAAACATTGAACATGGTGGTCTTCTTTGATGTACATTTCTGTCAATACATATTGCATTTAATTTCGTATTGTTGATGTTTTTACTTTATATTGTCCAAGGCCAAAATAAAAACACTGTATAGTATTGTATATTTTCACTGAGTTACAAAACACCCAATTACTACAAACTCCAATATGATTAAATATTTGTAATTTGGGAGAAATTGATTAGAAGGCATGCTGTTGTTCAGTGCAGTCTAATTTATGCCATGCACTTTCTTCAACAAGCTCATTTGAATTTAACTTCATCCCACATAGATATTTTATGGCTTTGCCACCAGATTCTACAAGATGTAAGCAGATGCAGCCTGATTATCTGATGCAGGTCCTTCCTCTATTGACCTATTTCTATATAATCCTCTTGAGTGTTGCTTATTGTTTCTTAAATGGGTCATTTTCCTGCCCCCATAAACTGTCAGTTAAAAATATAATTGTTGGAGGAGTGTGTCATAGAAGTACGACCTTCTTGATCTTGAAATTATCTCAATATGCCACATTCCTGTCATCATACACCTTCATGGATTCAGCTGGTTGCAGATTAAAGAGAAATCTACCAGATTTGGTGGGCACCAAAAGTTGTTCCAGATGAATTTTTTGAGCCAAGCAAATAACGCCACTATAGACAATCTCTTCCATAGATACCAAGTTAAAGCAGTAATTCATTACTAAAAAAAAATCCCGTTTTTTTTTCTGGAAATATATCGCTTTTCAATCTGGATCCAAACATGTAAAAAAAAGGAAAGAAATGCTCTGCATTCAAAAATACCTTCGTGCGTGCACTATGTCAGTATCCACGGAGGATCCAGCAATTGGGACTTCCAGCTATAAAAATGATGTTTTTCTAAAAAAATAAAGCAGTTGAATCCAAGCAATTTCTATAACTTTTTTTTTACAAACTAGTAGCCTCCAGATGTGCTGAACAACATCTTCCATCACTCCCAGCCATCAAGAGTCAATGCCCTTCCAGCAAAGATCTAACAGTCACATTCCCAAATTGGCAGAAACTTTAATTATTAAAATAGTTAAATATGGAAAAAATATTAATTTTTTTATCTGTACATTCAGGACATTGTTTACATTGATGCAACCTACAGCATTAGTGAAACCTTTCATATTTACTGGGTGTTATAATCCTAATTAGAAATATACTTCTGCTATTTCTCTATATAAATATGGAGGTACAATCACATTTAAGGGAACCTCTAATCTTGCCTTCAGATTTTCAAATCAGTCTAAGATACCAACCCAAGAGAGGAAAAAGATTTATTATAAAAAAAAAAACACCTTCTCAGACTTTATCCACTAACCCCAATCACTTTAACCAGGGGTGGGATTCCACTGGTGTAACAACTGGTTCAGTGATCACATACTTTGTGCGCACATGCGCGCTCCGTGTTTTAAAAAGCTCTAATACTTACCTTCTACTGCAGTCCCTGTGAACCAAACAGCTGAGGCACGGCAAACCGCTCTACCGCACAAATCAGCTGTGCGTCTAACAAAAGGAAATAAAGCACAGGAAGGAGTAGGGGCAGGCAGGCAGGCCCATATCGCAGCGAACCAGTTCACTGCCAGCTGATCTTCGGAACAAGGGGTTCGCCCGAACCGGTCTGAACCGGTAGAATCCCACCCCTGACTTTAACCTCAAACTGTCTACTGTTGATCTCACCCCATTCCTAAGAGGTCTGTAAGGGGGCGTGCATAAGTGCACCAACGTACCTACCATGCCTGTCCTCCTGTTCCCTTTGATTTGTATCTATTTCATGTATTAACAATCATGTTTATACATATATATATATAAATGCATGCTTGACAAAATAAATAAATAAATAAAACAAATAAATAAATTTTATTCTCTCTAGTAAGTATATGAAGTGGCTTTCTGATTACTGATTATGATTTTCTCTCCTGTCTGCCAGTGAAATCAATGTGATCATTCTAGGTTAGCATAAATAGGGGCCTGTCAAGGCAGTTCTACATACCCCTAATTCTGTTTAAGACCTTACCTGCTGTTTTCCTATTTCCATAACCGCAAAGGGATTACTGTAGGTCTCTAAAGAAAAATACATACCTACTATTGGAGATGATCTTCCACCCCATACTAAACCCTCTTAACCACCACTCTTCAAAGTGGGTGTCAGGGTTACCAATGACCCAGTTCAAGTAATCCGATGAGTCCCCCCTCTTCTCTGAAATAAGAAATTCTCATATGTGGAGTTCTGAGTGGCTCTGAGCTTGGTTGTTTTTCATGCAGACATTTCATTGCCCCCATTAGGTAACATCTTCAATGCTGGAAGATATATAACAGGGTTTACTCTCTGTTATATACAGTACCTTGCACTTGACAATGTTGGTGGGGGTGATGTTTTTCCCCTAAATACTTTGATTGGGCTGTTATTTACTGTTTGATTGTTTGGCGGGTGTTAATCCTGGTGTTAATCTCTGCTTGTCTGGATCTTGATTGCTGGCCAGATGGTGTTCTGTTTTGTTTTTTAATTTTGTTTTGTTTCCATTTTAGCTTTTTTATTGTCTCGTTTGAATGGTATGTAAATATTGTTTAGTTCTGTGCACTTGCTGATCGCTGATTTGTCTGAGGCCAAAATTTCAAAAATTCCCAAGTAGTTTTGGATTTAGTTTGGTCCAGGATATTCACAGTTTCTCAGTCGACATTATGGTTGAATCTATCAGTGTGTTGTGAAATTCAGGAGTTTTCATCATATTTTCTGATTACTAGTGGGTATTCATGGATGCACTCTGCTAGTCTTCTGCCAGAGGCAGTTATACTCCTTTTACTGTATGTTGTAGATGACTTGTGTTTTTCTTCTTCTTGGGCTATTGGATCTTTTGGATCACTTAAGACATTTCAGAAGACTTTAGTTGGTTTGTGAGCTACAGCTATGTGGTTATAATCTGTTGATTGTTTCTCAGATGTTTCTGATATATGGCAGTATTATCTTTTTCATAGCTTGTCTTGGTTGCGCTGTAGTGGATTGGGTAGTCAGGGAGTTTTTGATAAGTTGCATGGGTGTTGGAAAATATTGTATACGTAGTTCGCTTCCTCCTCCT